AACTTCAACTGGCCATAACTTTGCCGTTTCTACACGGAATTGGACGTTTCAAGGCGCTATCGGCATCAGGAGCTCTTGAATAATGCGATTTTAATGTATTTGCATATTTTTTCACTAACCATCGCTTCAGAAATGCCAATTTTAGCCTACCCCGATGCAGAATCACCACAGGTGGGTTGTCTTTTTGGTTGTTTCTAAGGTCGGTGTCTATGCTACTCCTTTGCACATCTCCTAATATTTCTCACTTTTTGGGATCTTCTATTTGATTTTGTTTGCTGTTATATCTCTTGGTGATTTTCATGCGGGTCTGCTTATCTTGAACACCATGGGTGACTATTGCATTCAATATGTGGACCAACAATGTGCTCTCTTGTTTTGTGCCTTGTGTTGTTCCGGGGCTCCCTCCTATAGCACCTGCAATACTAGTGAAAAAGGAGGGATTTTGCTTCATTAATTTGTAATGCCATCTAGCGTCAATCTTTATGTCGAAATCATAATGACTCAACAACATTACTTAACAATGGAATGCAATTTCTAATTAGCTTTGAGAAGAAAAAAACTCAGAATCATACAAATTTTGGTGGGTTGAAAATGGGATTGTAATTATCTGGTTATCCTGTCAATTATCATTATAGGCAAGGTGGGGAAACTCGATAATATAAATTAATATATTCTAAAGACTTCCTTAAAGACTGAATGTTTCAGGGAGGTTCAAAAATAAGTCATGAGTGTTTTGCTAATGATGAGCAGCGCTTTCAATCATCTTTCCACCTTTTGTCGATTTCGTTGTAATTACATGATCTCTTAGCATCACAAGTCAAATTGACACTAAGCGTAGCAAAATTAACATAGTGTCTTCCCTAATGTTGGCCAACAGCGATGCAAAGGTTCTAATTATTTTGGTAAAATAACACAGTACCTGGCCGCATCCAAGGTGTGGATCCCCAAATCTTTAGCATCCACTGAGATTGAGGCACCAGAGTAAAAAAAAAGGTCATCTTTGCTCTGCGCAACCACCACTTCAAGCAATGGACATTGTGGAGTCACGTTAACGTGAAATTGCTCATTTGTCGTGCTGAGGTACAAGCTGATAATACTCAAATTTGTCGTTGGGAGCATCGCTCAGCAGTGGGGCAGCGGTGCAATGAAAAGATGGCGGTGCCCACAGGCACTATTGCTGATCCACGCCCTAATTTTGGCGGATCACACAACAGTGATGCACGCTATCTACCGCCGTGTTGCTATGATAGCTCCCGCTCTGAGGAGTCCTTCAATGCCCTTTTGGCGCAGTTTAGGCCCACAATCCCCCGAACGAGTCCTCCATGCTGTAGACGATGTTCCATTCCGTTGTTTTGACGACGTGTGTCCTACCCTCTCACCCGTGTCATCCCCATTGAAATCCGTTGTCCTGAATCGGACAAATCAAATGGGTCCGTTCCTTGCGAGCACAATCTTAATCGCTGTGTTCCTTTTCCGGGTCTGCCTGTGTCGGTGCTCGCCCCTCCCCTCCAGCAACGGGCCGAGGCGGTGCACAACTGCCCGTGCACCACTCCACCGCTGACACCGGCGTTGGTTCTGGCGTTCTTGCGTGACCTTTGCATGTTGGCGGAGTTTGGCCCCCGCCACCTGCGAAACCGGAGGTCTCCTGCGGGGCGCGATCCAGCTGTCGTCAAGCTCCGGCCCCCCACTGCCGGCTGGGCTCCCATGGCGAACTACTACCACGAGGCCCGGGCGCACGTGCGGCGCTTGAAGGAAATGTCAGAGGAGAACAAGAGACGGGCTGAGAGACGTGCAGAGCTTGCAAGCGCCCAGGTGCCCAAGCCTGTTGTTTTTGGGGCCACCAAGGGCCCCGATCAGGCACCCAGTTTCTACTTGGAGCCGCGCTCTGAATTCCTTGCGCTGCGTTTGGTCTCAAGCAGCAAAATGGAGCCCTGGCACCCTGCAGGCGATGACGGGTGGAATACATTCAATTCAAAATATTTGTTTTGGAAACCTTTGTGTTGGCAGTGCTAGTTGCAGAGGGCTCGTCTCATGGTTTGCTTGCTTCGAGCGGTGGGTGGCCGCAATGGCGCCAGAGGGGCCACCTCTGGTGTTGCTGGGCCCGGTGAGTCTCTGTTCCGGATACAAGGCTTTGCTAGCCCTGGTGGCTACCGGGCAGGGATGTGTATCAGTGCTTGGTTAGTGGCCTGAGAGAGCTGCCGGGCCATTGATAGCCTGAAACATAATTGGCCTGGGTGTCCTGTGCTAGCTTTGCCGGTGACCTGTGTTCTTTGCAACAGGCGGAACATCCAATCAACTTTCTGATGGGGGAGGGACACAGCTGCAAGATCCATCGCAGCACTGAACAGTATAACGCCATTGAGAGACAGGAGGGGATGATCGCCTGGAATGATCACCAGGACAACATGATTGATCGTTTCGATGGGCGTGCCTTGCTGGACTTTTACAGGGAGCCTTCCACATCAAGGAGACAAGAAAAGGCACCAGAAGAGGTGGAATTAGAGAAGGTATGGGAGGCAAAAGAATGGGGCTTGGAAAGGCAAACAGCGGTGGGACACATGTCTACGTGCAGTCTTTGGGCTCAACTGTGGTATGTGCAGCGCAACATCGACATATCTGCACATCCAAACGTAATTCACCAGTACTCATACAGGAGTGCAACAATGGGGGCATGGCCCCCAAGATAATCAAAAATTGGTGGAAGTGGCCTTGTTTGGCCAATGGCATCCATATCCGGACAGCAGCAATGAGCCCCTTGTTGCTGCCTGTGCTTATTTCCTTCTGTTTTGTGCAGTGGGTGGCTTTTGAAAGCTACAGAGATCTCGTTCGACTGCTGAGTCGGGGAATAAGTGAGTCAGAAGGGCTTGCTTTCGTGGAGCACGAAAACATTGAGATACGTGCCAAGGCAAAAGTTGCAGCTGCTGCTGCAGTCTCTGGGGCACAGGGAGAGCAGGCAGCACTTGCGACAGCATCAAACATCTCCTCAGGTATGGATTCCTTGAACTACATTTGCCTGTGCGGGGCAGTACGGGGCCCTTGCATCCTACCGGCATTATTGCGTTTATGCATCCAAGACGTCTCAGTTGTGGTGACATATTGGACACGTGCAAGAAACCATGTTGGGAAGTTAACCTTGATGAGGTGCTTGGGGAAGTCAGCCGCCCAGCAACTTGTCTTTTCACCCAAAGGAGAAGCAGGGGCATGGTGAATGAGGGTGTTGCATTTGTCTGATTCCTGTTAATCACCCAAGTTTGCACAATATGATCTGCAACTGACACTCTTGAAATAACCCATTTAGGGTAGCCCCTGCTTATGTCAACTGAATTAGAGCAGACCTGTGGCCTGAAAACAAGTGCGATGGCCTCGTTTTCGTTGCCTTAATCAGGGACCCATTGCGGTCTGACATTTATTTTAACTCAGACTTGCAGGCATGTGAGGTTATTGTCGTGGGAGCATTTCTGGCTGACCACAAACGCGCTCTTGGAGTTCCATCAATCAGTATTCTGTGTGCATGCCTTGTCTGCATTGGGCGTTTAGCCCCCTGTGTTTTGGGTATGTGGGAGGTGCCTGAACACATGGAACATTTCTGAGATTCCTGTGGAAATTGAGCACTTCATTGCATTGTGGGCGAGTGAGCTTCCCGTGTCTGGGTGTACATGGTAGTCAATGGATTTCAATTGTTGTAGTATGGAGGCGCAGGCTGGTATGTTTTGCAGTGCTGTTACTCAGCTATGCAAGTCTCCCCCAGCTAAACTGCTGTTTGTAGCTGGGGGCTCAATTGAAACTGGGTACTGCTGCAGATGCACGACACACATCTTGGGGCAATAACACTTGCTTTGTTCTGGTACAAAGCAAATTCACATCTTAGCCCAGCTTCTCTTCTTGGTGTCAGGTCTTGCAGGATACGCTGTATTTGGTTACGATCTGGACGATGGCTCATCGAGTGACAATGACAGCGACGAGCAACATGAAGGAGATGAAGGTGACGACGAAGACTCTCAGGAGGAGGGTGAAGGCCGTGGAGCCCAAGTTCTGGATAGAGACGAGTTGGACAGAGTGGGTGAGGAGCAGTTTGGGATTGAGCACTTCAGCTCGAGGCTTAAGCGGGTGCTGAAATTTGAAGGGGATGCAGACGCCTTCAGGTTCAAAGCAGCAGGGTGGGTATGTTACTCACAAATTGAGCTGAAGTTCTCTTTGATAGTGTTTGCTGGAAATTTGGCAGGACGTTGCCCATCGTCACAAAACAGTGACAAAGTACGGTGCCAGAAGCCCACTGGCTGTTTTGTCTGTTTTGCGTTGCTTGCTTATAACTGTATATCTGCAGCTTAGTGTAGCCCGAGCTGAACGGAGCCCTGGGATAGTCTTACTGGGATTGGGGCCAACACTGACTGCGAGTACATTCCATCAACCTACTGAGCAACTCAACGTCGAATTGTAGCAACAGAACGGCCAGCCTGTGCACGCCATTTTACTCTTGGAATTGTGAATGTATGGGGCCAACAATTTTCTGTAAGGATGTTCCAACCCCAGCAAGATATGCTACTTGGTATTGTGGCATATGCAATGGCACTTGCAGATGCAGCTAGCCTTGTGTTGCGGAAGGTGTGTGTCATGCTGTGTGTTTGTAAGACTGGCGTACGATGTTGCCTGTGGTGTGCTGTGTGCTCCAGTCGTCGGCGTATCAGTCGCAAGAAGTATGCAGAGCGAGCAAAGCGGATGGCAGGGCAAGGGCTGGATCCGCATGGACATCCCAGCGACTGGAAGGACTTGCCTAATCAGCCCCTAAGAGAGGGGCGGTCAGGTGCAACACACAGGTATGGTGAGGTGGACTGCAGTTGCACAGTTATTGAGGCACTCCTGTTGGTAGTGAGGCATGGCTGCCCTTTCCCCGTTTCTTCTGTCTGCCATGAGCATCTTGTAGCAGCCCGCCTTGTTGATAAGGCCTGATGTTTGACCCATTTGTGGCACAGAAGCACACACACTGCATCACAAATTTTGAAACGGGCCTCTAAACTCTGAAGGCACCCTCAAGGAAACGACTGAACAGAAACTGAAAGCACTGGGCAGAGGCCAAAGCGGGGCCATTGAGCATTATCTGTTTACAGTTTGCTGCCTGTGTGGTTACAATGGTGCAGACGAGGGAGCCACCGAGCCAGCCCTGACTACCATTCACAAGCAAGGCACAGGTGAGCTTACTTGATGTCCCGAAATGTTCCTGGGGCGTGGGGATGGATGGTCATTCAGTGCTTTGGGGCAGGAGCATAGAGAAGCTGCCATGTATGCACACAAGGATATGAATTTCTTGTTGGTGCTCTTTTCTGAATTCTATATGAAATCTCCATTGGTTACAGGCTCTGTCGATTGCCTTTGTACGTATAACTGGTGTCCCAGCACCCAGGACGTGCTGGTGTTCACTCTTGTCAGCCACGCTTGCTGTTCCCAGAATGCGCATATATAGGCCACACAGCCTGTCTATCTTCCAAGCACTGGAATCAACTTGCAAGCAGACGATGAGAAGTGTGGTTTGCTGAGCCTGGAAGGTTTTGTTGTAGGCACTACTCCAGTTCAAGGTCCCGTTCCTCATCTGGGGGCAGGTCTCGCTCAAGATCGCCAAGGTGGGACAGCCAAGGTTGGATACACAACACAACGGCACCTAGCATCAAGGCTGCCAGCCCTTTGCTGCAGGCTGTCAGCTTATCGTTTTTGGCAATGCAGTCACTACAATTACAACAATTACTACAATTTGATGTTGGGACCAGGGTAGGCTGACACCAACTGATCAACTCACAGCTTTCACCATAGGATTACAAGGATGCAGCAGCTGCATCTTCGCCGATCTGCCCTGTTTGTTGTGAATACAGATATCTTCCACAATTTTGCATGTCTCATGGACTGCTTTGTGGCTGGAAGTCGCCATCTCTGATGTTGTCCTTGATTTGTTTGAACAGGGCCCATGGTCAGAGGGGCAGGACGGAGTACATCACTGAGTTCCGCGGAGAGACAGCCCATCATAGTCGCCACGGTGGCTGGGTGGACGAGTCGGCGGCCGAGACGCGGCACCCTGCAACACGGTCGGACCCCTTCCATATCTTTTGCAGCAGACAACAGGAGAAACTCCACTGCAGGGGCTGCTCCACGCCAGGTTACCGGATAGGAGGGGTACCGAAACTGGAGATTGATTGCATGGGCAAGTTGCTCCATTGGGCTTGCTCAGTCCTGCTTGGATGCGTTAAGAAAAGATAATCAGGCATCAAAGCCCCGCTTTGCCAAAAGGAGTGGCAAGCACTGCAGTGGGAAGCCCTAGGTCTAAACAGAAGTTGATAAAGTACAACTTGAGAGTAGGGAACGTCCACGCAAAGCACCAAAAGGAAACACCAAAATAGAGAATACATGGTGGAATACCTTTCTGGATAGTGGGACTGCACGTTGCCATATTATCTGCCTAGTTTGGCTCCGTGTTATTGCACCCTGTGGCAGCTGTGGTGGCTGTGCCTTGCCCCATTGTCCTGAAACCGTCTGCAGCAAAAACTGTGCAATGTAGTTGTCTTGGGAAGCTACAGCAAGCCTTACCATGGTGATGGAAGCCTGGGGAAACAAATGCGAAGTACAGAATTCCCGGCAGCTGGCTTGCACTGTAATTAATAGTGAGAGTGTGCATAAGGTGCAAATTTTGCCTGCAACGTGGTGCGTAGTCGCATGGAAGTGGCTGCCAGTGGCACAAAATTGAAATATTGAGGTTGGTGTGTTTGTTTGAATGCACATTGGCCTGCCAAGCACAGAAGCCCTTCACAATGACACAGGGCTGGACTGTGCCACTTTTTGCTTTGCTGATATTTGTGCACCTCTCGCTCCCCTTCACGCATCCCTCCTTGCTGAAGACTGCGAGCATGTGATTGCTTTTGTCCTTGTCCCATCGCCTGTATTTGTTGGTGATGCAGAGGTGAGGGTGTCATATATGAGGCGATGCCTGGCCGAAGGGAAGGCCCAGGGACTGGTGCTTCCATGGCCTACCAGCTGGATATAATAACAGATCTCAGGTGTGCACACTCTGGTGCCTCATTGGATCACCAATTGCTTCAATTGCCTCCAACTGCTGGATAGGATGGCTGCTGGTGCGTCGCAGGGGCAACAGTGAGTACTGGTTCTGTGTTGCCTCTGCAACATTTTATGTGTTGAATTCGCTCAAAGTTGCTACTGAAGCTGCATGAAACAACAGCGGCCCTGTATAGATGGAGGATGTGATTCCACACGCAAGGGATAAGCTGGCATGTGTCAGAGATGTATTGCTATTCAATGTTAAACTTCCATGCTTTCTGATGAACAGCAATGTGTAAGCTGCGCACCACCTATCGGGAGCAGTGAACCCACCTGAAACCAAAAGAATGTTTGTTGGTGGTCTGTTGGTTATTTGAGGAGCTTATTAACACTCATATTGATCCTGTCACATTGTCCATTCACTGCCATATGCTCTGCTGAAATCAGAAGCTTTTGGTGTACTTCATGTTCCCCAAGCCCCAAAGCCAGGCTACTAAAACAGAGCTAACTGAGTTACTATATGCTCTCTTGTGGCCACCTGACGCATGCGTGCCACACGTGTCTACCTTGTTCCAAGAAAGCTGCATATATGGTAAATGCAGTGCTTGTTGTCCAGTGGACTTGTCATGGGCGTGTTGAAATGGCCTATATCCCGATTCGTGGTTGCATCTGTGGTTGATATCACCCAGGGCACTGGATCCCAGTCGAATTGCACAAGAGAAAGAGAAAGAGAGGCGGAAGGATGTGGAGGAGAAGGGGAAAAGGAGCCGGGAAAGAGGAGTGCCCCATTCTGCCAAGCCATCAGTACACTCACAGCCCAAAAGAGATCCAAAGGCGAAACCTAAGGCGAGTCGAGTTTCATGTTGCTTGTTGGCCAGCTGTCCTGACTGTTTTGCTGGCCTGTGTTGTCAACCTGCTACATTGGATGGTTTCTGCTGGTGGATAAGCAGCAGCCCGGCCTGGTAGCCTGTCATCTGTGAAGTTTTGTGTCAGAAGCAGATACTGTCTATTGTGTGTTTTCTGTGACATGTCCTGGCCATTGTGTATTGTGGCTACAGCACATGGGCTTGTCTGTTTTTCTTAGGCTTTGCACAAAAGCCCATGATTGCTGTGGTGAGTTGCATTGGTGTCGCTGCTGTCAGCTTTCACATGGTTATCCTCCTGTTGCACACCATAGTGAAATTCTTGCACAGCTGGCTTTGGGACTATTTTAAGTCGACCTGTGGCTTGTGCCCAGGCCAGAGAGGCAAAAGAGTCAGCTCAGGATCGCCTGAAGCGCATCATGGCAGCCCAGCTGAACAAGCAGGTGCAGAAGGACAACTTGGTGACAACGCAGAAGAAAATTCAGGTGAGAGACAAGGACTATGATTCTCAGGTTGTGCCCCCTGGGCTTGTGCACAGGAACAAACGAAATGCACCTCCTTCCATTGTATTAGGCTGAGGTAAAGTTGTCAATTGCAAGGAGATTGGCACTCAGTGCTGCAGGCCAAGAAATCGGGAATGATCCAGACTGTTGTGCCGCCAGTGGAATGGGTGCTCAATCACAATTGGGCAACAAGACTTCCAGTATGATGTTGACTGTGTGCTTGGGCGCAGTGTTGAATGACCAACATGAAGTGCGTCCTCTCGTCCTCATGCCATCCCTGTTAAAATTTGGTGGCAAGTTTGTTTTTCTTGAAGAATTTGCTTGAAAGCTTTGTTGGGTACCCCTTGCTCCATTGTTCAACTGTATATCACTGGCATTGACTTTGTAATGTGTGTGTGAAGGCTGAACGCGATCGACAGGCCCGTCTGCAGATAGAGCGCGTTGCCTTTGCACAAGGACAGCACGAATCTCCAAGGTAAAGGGGGGAGGGGGGGGGGGAACACTGGGCTTGGACTGGCTACAAGGTGAAAGGATGGCGCACCTGCAGTTGCACGTAGCGGCAATGGATTCTGTTGCCAGTGAGGAGGGCACAGCTGAACTTCTCGTGGAGCGCTGCATCACCCTACTCTGCACACTTCCTCCCAGACACGATGCGGCAGTCTGGGAAACCCAACGACATGCAAAAGAATGTTGTGAACGAGCATTTGAATGTTTCAAACATCTTATGGGTGATAGGGTGGTGTTTTTATCAAGCTGTGAGGAAAGGAATGGATGATAACTTATGCCTTCCTTTTCCATTTTCATTGTGACAGGAGTGGGTCTCCTTCACCATCGCCTGTCCCACACCGCCGGTATCGAAGTCCCTCTCCACTGCCAAGGTCAAGGGGCAGGTCAAGGACATGGTCCAGGTCAAGATCTTGGAGCAGGAGCAGCAAAAGCCGAAGTCCAGCCAGAAATCGAACCCGTATGCGCAGTGTCAGCAGGAGCCGGAGCCGAAGTTGGGAACGATACAGGTCTGCCCGTTACACCCAATTGATGCCATATCGTGGAATCTATTGTGACACTATTCGTCTACAGGAACGGATGTGCCACATGGTGTGCATGCCCCCTGCATGTGCAAGAGCTCTTCCTGTGAAAGATGGTGTGGAAGTGCTGAATGTGTCTTTGCCAGGACCACCTCCACAAGCAAGAGCAATGCACTCAGGAGGGTTTGTTTACCAAGACATGCATGTTGCAGACTGCACAATTCGCACATTGATGACACCTTAATCAGGTTCCCAGCTCTGTTTATTGGCTTAGGGGGGAGGGAGTGGGGGGAAATGGGACAGCTTGTGCCAAAGCCAAGATTGCAGAGCTGAATGTCTGCAGAAAAGACAAACAACGTGTCCATTTCGTGTCTTGAAGAGCAAGATCGCAACCATTGTGTTTGCTGGCTTCACACAGTGCACTGTCAAATTGCGTATTCAGTTGCACCACATAGGCGACAGCCTGGGTGTTTTGTGTGTGTGTGTGTGTGTGTGTGTGCCTTGTGCAAACCTGCATTTGATTGGGCTCCAAAGGTCTTTATCCCCACAAGCACAATATCTGACACAGAAGATGTGCAGAGGAACTGATAATTGAAGGTTGGAGTGTGCAGTATGATCATGACTTTGTGTTTGCATTTGAACGAGCTGGAAGCCATATCTGTGGCAGATGTGCCCACATTTATGTCTACTGGCTCGTGTGCCTTGTCTGCATCTGCTCCAACCCAGGCTCTTGGAGTGTTTACCAACCTTGGGGACAATGGAGGGTCATGTGACTCAGCACACCTTTGTTTTTCTCAGTGTTCTGCATTTAAGCTGTTGCAGTTCAAGCAAATTGCATCAATCTGGTGTTGATGCCCTGCCTTTTGTGTGTTTGTTTTAGACGCCACTGAGCAGAATCACCAGGATGGACGCACTGTGGGTGGTTCCCGATATTTGGGACCTGTTGTTCAGCCACCTCCCGAGGAAACCACCCTCTTCAGTTTCGCCTGACTGCATCTGGAGTGCACCTGCAGCCTCTCTTTCGTGTTGCGATTGGCTCCCAGAGGGCTTGGGGTTGTCCGCACACCTACCCAGGCATCCCTTTGGACTGCTTGCGGACAGTCGGCATACTTTTGCATCAAACATGGTGTGTGCAAGGGCTGGGGGGCTGATAGGCTGGGGGATGTAGTTTAGGCACATCGGCACAGGTAGATACTTGTGTTGTGCGGGGATGAGTCAGAAATTCCTTGCTCAGGAGGGGTTTTTCCCGATGTATGACATGCTTCCTTTCAAAACATCGAGATTCTGATAGGTTATGGTGGGTAGTGTCTGTCCTGGCGCTTGCTGCTCAGCACAACAGTGTGGAACAGGGCCAGGCATGCAGGATGGGCTCCATGGCAGTGCACAGGACCCTGTGTGCATGTTTGATCGTCAGCCCCTGGTAGATGGTGTGCCTCTGTCACACTGGCAGCTTCAATCGTTGGCTGGGCTGTCAAACCAGGCTTGCGGCGGTGGCATTGCTAGGCCTTCCTATGGATTGAAAGGAGTGTAGCTCTTGTGGGACAAACACAGTGTGCATAGACTCATGCACCACCATGGTTTCAAACTTCGAAGCTGTCGACATTTGCTGAGGCAACTTTTCAACAGTGCATGTTCCTGTTGCATGCAGTAGGGGTCTGCGCATGCCGCTTTGAATCAATTTCTTTGCTCCGAATTTCGAGTCGACTACTTCTGTGACTGCCTTTCGTTGCTCCAGGCCATAGGCTCTGCTGTCTTGCAGATCTCGTATCCAGGTTGTACTGCTCTATTGTGGGAGTCACAACCTCCGGCAATCTGAAAGGACAACCGCCCTTGGGATGTTGGCAACCGATTGGCCGTGATGGTTTTGGCAACGAGCATGGCCTGGATATCAGAAACAATGACCCACGCAAGTGTGGTAAATGCTGTCTCGCTGACTCTTGCCGTGTAGCTGAAGGAATGTCCCTGTTAAGCTGTGCAGATGAATTCACTGGTTCGACTGTGCACTAGTGTATTGGTGTACCATTGTCCTAGTGGGCTGATTGTAAGAACGGAGATGCAGTGGTGCGGGAACCTATGGGAGTCTATGAGAGGCATGCCACAATGTTTCTCTATCCATATGAAGACAAACCTTGGAATGCCTGGGGACAACCTTGCTTGGTGCTTTTGGACATTGTTGGTGTCAGAGTGTATGTGCAAATTCATGTTCAAATGGGGGTTGTACGCTGTTCTCTGTATTAACACTTTCACAGGAGGGTTGGAGAGGTGGTCAAGGGTCGGCAGAATCGTTTCTGAGAAGAGAACACAACTGGAAATCCCACAAACCACAACCCTGTTCCAGTCGTTGGGGGCTTGGATTGGGTGCCTCATTTCCATTGGCACTCGATGCGCAGGAATGACGATTGCCGCTGTCACACGACCTGGCTCATTTTTATGTAATCGGTTTTGTCCAGGCAGCTTTAAGTCATGGTCACTGAGGGACTGCCCAGCCTGATGGCCAGACAAATCCAATAAGCTCTTTGATGAAACTGGAAGCTGTTTGTGTAAATTGTCATTGCATTTTGCGTTTTGGTGCTTGGGTGACGCCGACTACCAAGAATCTGTCGACCCGAAGGAAAAGGATTGCAGCTTTTTAGTACATCGGCCTGCCCCCTGTCACGTAAGAGGCTCCTCGTCATAGGCCGGGAAGCATGTGGCCAACGATGTGGACGAACGCGACGGCCATGGCGTAAAGCCTGGCATGTGCCCTCAGGGGGATGACGAGAGCACGATGCACTCGCGGTCCCGTCCACAACGCCCCGCGTGTTAGTGTCTTGAGCCCTGCAAGAATTGGACCCCCGGGTTTCGGCCCTGGCCTCGTGGCCTTGAGGCCCGCGAAGAGGCAACAGAGACGTGATGGACGTGGCTTGGCGCCGTACTGCGGGCCGTGCTGCTTATCAGCATATACTGGGCCCACACCTGGCACCCGGCCAGAGGCCAAACGACCTGAGCATGTCCTTGCCTGCGAACCCGGTACCCAACAACGGCGGCCTCCGCTAGCCGTCTTCGACACGGCGCACCCGTCAGCCACAGCCGCGCGCCGGCCGGCGCTTTGGGCGCATATAGAGGGGCAGCGCATGCGCAGCCTCCCCGTTGCCAAGACACCTTGACGCCCCGGATAGCCAAGACGGAACCCTCGGTGTGGCAGCCGTGCATGATCGCCGGGGGCCGTCTCCAGACCACGCCCGTCGGGACAGTGCGCAGGGGCGGCGGGCGTGGTGTCCGCGTCTCCCAGGGCGGCTGCCCATCGGTGAGTTGCCGCCCGCGGCGACCTGGAACATTGGATGGCTGGATTGGTCGCGTATCGCCGAGGCTGGATGGATCGTTGGGAGAGCGTGTCTGAAGAGTGGCTCTGGAGATGGGCTTTGCAGGACACGCTTCACTTGGCCGGAGGGGGCTGCGCGTAGAGGCGTGGGGCAGCGCTGGGGTGCAAGGGTCTGCCGGCGTTTGCCACCAGGGAGGAGCCTCTGGAGGATGTTTGTGCCCAGGGTGCCCACGGTGGTGTCTCTGGGCCAGCTGGACGACGACAGCGCCGCGATTGACAGCGGGCCGCTGTCGCCGGACGCGCCTGTGGCGCAGTGCGCCCACGTGCGCCTGCCCAAGGTTTCGTTCGCATTCCAAGAGGGGCGCCATTGCCAGCGTGTGAGGTCGTTCGGCGAGCTCCGGGATCTTGAGGACTGGGAGAAGCGCAGGTGCGGCGATGCAAGATGATGTCGTCAGCCCGCAATCCCCTGCTCTTCGGCATTTTCGACGTTCTCCCCTGATCGACGCCAATCCTGATTGCTTTCTGCCGGCTGGGCGTTCCAATCTGTCCCCTTGGGCGCGCGGCTAATCCCGTTGATTGGCGCCTCTCTCGCCGCGACAACCTGCGCCATGCTTGCCCAGGCCAGACATCACGGACGTCCTGCAACCCCCGACGGTATCCAGTGACGATGATCTGTCCGCGGCGCCGGTGGATCTCCCTGAGGCCTTCGCACCAGCCGACGAGCCCAAGAGCCTGATGGAGGAGACGCTACTGGGCCTGTGGGAGATGTGCGCGGAGAGCGGGCTGTTTCGTTACGACGTGACGGCATGCGAGACGAAGCCTGTGCCGGGGCTGTACGGCTTCGTCGCCCAGCTGAACGAGGGCAGGGCCACGAAGAAGAGGCCAACGGAGTTCCGCGTCGACCAGGTGGGTGCCCTTTGCTCGTTTGTCGTTTCCTCGGATCCCCCGCCTTTAATCCATTCGCTGTCCGTCGTTTGCTTCTCGTGCGGGTGGATTGGTTGTTCGTTCGTTCGCTTGTTGGCTGTTCGCCGGACGCAAAGGCGTCGGTGGTACTGCTGAAGACGACTTTGGGCCCGTTTGAGGTCGTCGCGCGCGTGGTGGGCGGCGGGGCCGCTCCAATCGGAAACCCGCTTTGCCGCTGATCTGGTCCACCGCATTGCCAGCGGCGAGGCCTCGCCATTAGCAAACAAACTTGGGATGCAGAGAGGATCCTGTCGAAGTGCCTCTGCATCCGTCCGGCAATCAGTGCCAAGCCACCCGCTGGGGACGGAATATGCGAATGTAGCGCGGCAGTTGCCGTATAACTGAATCCTGGGATTCATTCCATGCACTCTTAATAGATGCAAGAGCAGTGCTTTCTCATGTCTTTTGACAAATGCAGCCACAAAAGATGGCACAATCTTTTGCATTTGTTGAATGGATAAATTGAGCCTGCGTGCCTTCACAGGCGATGAAGTTATCACTGTGACATCGTCACCTTTATGGTGGTTTGCTCCGCACAGGTCGTCCAGCCATTCGATGAACAGAAGTTCAACTTCCTGAAGGCACGTGTGAAGGAAGTGCTGTTTCAGTTCGATGCCGAAGCCAGCGGTGAGACGATCTTTGAGGAAGACTCTGCCACGGGTGCCAACCCTGGCCTTGTGCTCATCAACATTAGCCCCATCGAGTATGGCCACGTCTTGCTGGTCCCACGAGTGATGGATCGCCTGCCACAGCTGATCACAGAGGACTCGATGCTCCTGGCGCTCCAGTTTGCTGCAGCAGCTGAGAATCCATACTTCAGGGTCGGCTACAACTCGCTGGGAGCATACGCAACGATCAACCATCTGCATTTCCAGGTGTGCATGAATGGCAGGCGATGGTGTCGCCAAGTGTCATGTCCTGCCTTTTGATCACAGCTTCCATGCATCTCTCTGCGCTAGGCTTTTCTCATGTCATTGGTTTCTCTGCTTTTTGTTGTTCTCATTGGTGCTGATTGAATTGAATTCTGCAGTGCTATTGTTTCCTGCAGTTGATATCCTCATAAAACTTCCACAGCCACCGCACTTGCTCCCCTCACAGGCTGTGTCGACTTGCAACATATCTCTGAACTGGATTGTTGTGGGTTGTGCATCAGTGCTCATTTTTGAGGTGTTATTGGCACTGTTGTCGACCAGGCCTATTTCCTATTGGCTCCATACCCAGTCGAGAGAGCCCCGACCATGCCTTTGGAGCCAGCCAACTCGAAGCACCCTGGTGTGAAAGTGGCGCAGCTTTCTGAATATCCTGTCAAAGGCTTTGTCTTTGAAATGTCCTCGGACTTGCAAGAGATGGCAGGCGTGCTTGCACGTGCATGCACATACATGCAGAGGGCCAATATTCCACACAACTTGCTGATTTGTGACTCTGGGGCAAGAGTGTTCCTGTGGCCTCAGGTGAGGACTGGTTCTGTCGTTGTCCCGTTTCGCATTATGTGGAGCTGCAGCTGCCAGCACTGAAAAAGTCCAGTGACAACAACCCCAACAAGAAATGTGACGTCACATGAAGGACTCTCTGCAGTGGATTAGGAGGAAAGGCCCTATTGCTTATGCCCATTGCAAGCATTGGATATGGGTGGGCAACCTGGTGCAATTTGCAGCCTGTGTGCGAGTATACCCAGATTTCTCTCACAGGTTGTTGCCGCCTGTGCAACAACATGGTGAAACTGAGGATGCTATCTCATGTGGCTGGTGCAACTGTGGTGCTTGTTCCCCCACGAATGCAAGGAAACTCATTTCGTGGCATCAACCATCCAGTTGCTGGGACTGCCTCAGTGTGGAGCTCAATGTTGTGCTGTCAGTTACGTGCAGGATATTGGCAGGAGCGCCATGCTTTTGAGACCTCCATTCTCTTCCCAAACAGGTTGTGGGATACATTCTCAGGCTGTCGGCTGCATGTATTTGAAGCCTCCGTGGTCATCGATGCTAGTTGTGGGAACAGACAAGGCGGATGGCAACAAAACAGCCCCCCTTCAGCAGCCTGCCCCCGTAGGCAAGGCATATGCATTGATATCGCGGAGAGCTAAGCGAGCAGGACATTGAACCTGGTTCTTGTATGCAGGACTACTCATTGGCTGGGTGATTGCTGTCCTTTTGGATGCTGAAACTTTTGTAGGGTCTGTAGGGTGCTGCTGTAGGGTGGCTGTTGTTCGTTTCACCACATTACCTGGCAGCTTGGCAGCAGGCAGTCTTTTTGTCCAATCCTTGCTTGTAAAATGGAAAGGGGAAGATGGAGGAAGAAACAGTTGTGATGCCGCGCTCATGGGCTCTGTGTTCTCGGTTCTAACTCGTGCATTGTGCATGTTTGTAGTGCTATGCGGAGAAGCAGGCCAAGGGAGTTGTCGCCGAAGACATCCTCTCAACTGGGGTGGACCCTGCTGCCTTCGAAATTGCTGGCCACGTGGTGCTGAAGAACAGGGACGACTATGACAACATGACCGAAGCAAGGGCTTGGAGGATGCTCTCGGAGGTGTCTGTGGCTGAAGAGCGCTTTCAGGAAATCGCGAGGCAATGTCTCGAGTGAAGTCCTATCTGGGTGCTGCAGGTTCGCCTATTGAAAATGTTACTTTCAATGCAGGGCGGTATCGATGTTGTGAAGTCCCTACTGATCTTGACAAACGTTGGCTGATAAATGGCAGCGTCGGGTGTTGATGAACGTATTTGGGATTAGGCTTTATGAAGTGCGCCGTAGCATTGGTCCATTTCGTGAGCATCTGGGATTGCTGCCAGTTGTTCTTTCTTGGCTGCAAATGCAATCGCCGCATGGGGCGCACTGCTGCCTGAACACCGGAAGTTTTGGCTTGAGACAGCCACCGAGGGAGGGCCATGCAAAGCTGTGGCAAGCTCATTCCCGAAACTGCATGGATGAGCGAGAGGGATAGTGAAATCTTTGACAACGACCTCTGGGAATGGAAGAGCCAAAGGGGCAAGGGGAAGTTGCCGATTTGGCAACTTCAGTGGCACTGGTATCACCTGCAGTCATTTCCTTGTAAGTGTCGGCTTGTTCTGCTCCTTGCCAGGCCTCACCAGCACAGACAGCGAAGGAGTCTTCTCGCTTCATCGATTGGACCATGACGAGTGCGCCTGAAGCGCAGCCCCTATCAATGGCCCCTGACACCGCTGGTGTTGTTGCATGTCAGAGTCGCTACAGCATCCAAAGGCAACGAAATTTAGTGTGGCACAACGTGGCTGAAGTGTGTTTTCGGCATCATGTGGGCAAGCAACTGTCCATAACCTTCTTCTGCCTTGGGGAGGTTGCCTCGACCCATGCATATGCGCACACATTCACACACGACAAGGACATCACATTCCCACTCACATGGTATCCACCACGGCCCGTAAACCGAAGTTTCCACGAGTAATTGTGCTCTGTCACTTCAAGTTGCTTTTTTCAGCATGGTGCACGTCTCTCTACTTTTCTGGAGACACCTTGACACAGGGGTGGGCACTCTCAGCTGTCCATTTTAATAGCCACCCGTGTCCTCATGGGCCGTTTCCAGCTATATTCCAGCTATAAGTCAAACAGCTCCCAGGGAAGCCATTATGTCGATTGTGGTGCGTTTACGTTAAATTCACGCAAGGAAGAGGGGTGGGGGGTGGGAGGCGGGCCTGCCACGCTGCTGGGCTGAAGCGCAGCAAAATCGACATGGCATCTTGCTATTCTTTCCTCCTTTCCCAATTTGTGGCAAACAGAGTTCATTCAAAATGAACTCCGATTTCACAAACTGGAGCAGCAAGGAACAGCAGCGCTGCCCCAACGAACGGCGGCCCACACGATCCCCGGCATCCGACGCCCTCTGGGCACCACTGACGTTGGCGGCGGGTGTCCACACCCGGCGCCGTCTACCGACCGGACCGGACGCCCCCCCGTCACCCTCCTTGATGCCCCGAGGCCGTAGGTGGTCGCCGTCGAGTCGAGCGCCTGAAACCCAGGAACCTGATCCCCGTCCCGCGGTACCAGCCCCTCCGTGCTGCGAGGGCCGACCCCCACCCTGAGCCCGTCGCTCAAGCATACGACGCCGGCCACGGGCCCGCCCCGGGGCCCAAAACTCCCCGCCAGGCGGACTTGGCTCCCAATCATCGTCCCCCCAATGCGCCACGTGGGGCCCCTGTGCCGCCCGCCGTGTGCCCCCGCCCCCCTCCCCTCCCACAACACAGCCCCCCGGCCCATGCGTACACACCATCTTCGATTGGCAGCCCGGGCCAATTTCGCGCCGCTGCCTGAGCCGATCGACTCCTCGACCGCCCAGGGAGCTCGGAGCGCCGCGACTGCCCCACGGCGGTCGGCCTGCCTCCGGGTGGCGCCCTGAACCAGCGGCGGCGAGCGACCGGCCGGCGGTGCCGCGCTGAGCCGCAGGGCCCCCCAGCGGGCGCTCCCGGGATCCTGGTCGGTCCGAGAGGCTGCGGCCCCCCGGCGCGCGCGCCATGAGCGAGGAGATCGACAAGCACGTGCTGCGGAAGTATGAGATACAGCAGAAGCTGGGCAAGGGGGTGCGTCTGCTGCGCGGCGGCTGCGATCCCTGGCACGCCCCCGCCCGCCACCGCGCCCAATGTGTCGGCCCACGAAACTGACTGCCGCGGCGCCGGCGCTCTGGCCAGGCCTACGGCATCGTGTGGAGGGCGGTAGACCGCCGCACGCGGGCGACGGTCGCCCTGAAGAAGATCTTCGACGCATTTCAGAATGCGACGGATGCCCAGGTGAGGCCGTGCTGCCCCCGCCTGGGGCCAGAACCCTAAGAGGTGCGGGGTGCGCCAGCGGTCGTCCGGGGCCTCCGGAGGCGCCATGCCGGCTCGGTGAGCCCCTCGGAGTGCTCGGCGTGACCGCGTGTCGACGCTGGTTGCTTGTGCCGTGCGCAGAGGACGTTCCGGGAGATCATGTTCCTGCAGGAGGTCTCCAACCACGAGAACATTATCAGGTGGGCGGGAAGCCGGGCGGGTTGGCCGACGGGCGCTCGGAAGTGCGGCGGCGGCGGCCGGCCGTGCGCCCGAAAGCGGCCCGGAACCGCACACCCGGGTTTTGTCGCCGTGCTCCCGGCGCCGTTGCTTTTGCTCGTTTCGGCATGCCGTGGGCCCCTCGCCGCGGCGTCCGCGGGGCATTGCCGTCCCCTCCTCCACTCGAGGCCAGCGCTCGAGTCACCAAGGCGCGGGGTAGGGCCAAATTGTGCGTTCCCGGCACCAGCCTGGTTGTCTGCGGATCCTGACGCCGCACCAGTAGGGGCCATTTCGCTCGGTGGCGGGGCGCGATGTTTCCCTTCCCCGCGCTTCCGTTCTTGTTGCGACCTGTAGGATTGCCAGCGCTTGGGTGCCGCATCCGCAGCTCCGCTAGGGGCTGGCATTGGTATGAGCCCGGGCTCGCTTGTGGGTGCCCTCGTGAGACTGGTGCAGGCCCGCCTGCATGGTGCGGGGTTCAGCTGGGGTGGCGTCCCATGTGCTGGTTGTTGCCCTCCCACAGCGTCAGCCACTGGAGCGGTCTGGGATTGATTGCCCTGTGCTCTGTGCGACAGACTGCTGAACGTATTGAAGGCGGACAACGACCGCGACATATACCTGGTGTTTGACTACATGGAGACGGACCTGCACTCGGTCATCCGGGCCAACATCCTGGAGGAGGTGCATAAGAAGTACATTATGTACCAGCTGTTCAAGTCCCTGAAGTACCTGCACTCAGGAGAACTGCTGCACAGGGACATAAAGGTGATGGGAGCCAGTTCTTGAGCGTGTGCGTCGCTGTGCTCTTGGCAAGATCGTTGCCAGTGAGACACTCATCTGCCCTCTCTGTTGCAAGTCCCAATTGTTGGAGTTGGCACTACAAGGGGCTCTACGCATTGTTTCTGTCCTGATTGCTGGATTGTTGAAGGGCCACACTGCTGAAACTTTGAGCTGGTAAGTGCAAACATGTGAATGGGTTTGCTGGGGTATGGCAAGCAGTTCTTCTGAAAATCTGGAGTATCTGTTCATCGCTGCTGGTCCAACAGCAATCACCCACTTGTTCCTTTTGTGGGTGCACACTTCTGTTGTTGCATGTAATATTGTGCATGGATTGCTCAAAAATGACCAAACGCTGCTCCCTTGCGCACCAAAGGAATATAAAAATATCCAGAGAAACCGTAATGTGATTTCTACTCAGGCCATCTCTGAAGCAGAGTCCAAACTGGGTTCCAGTTGGAAGCTGCTGAGTTGCATTACCTGCCCACAAAGCACCGAACATATGGCAAGCTGTCAAAGTGTTCAAGAGTTCAATGACATCACACCATAATTCACCACAGTATGCTACAACCATATTGCTGACTACAGAGGCACCCGGCTCACACCCTGTTGCTGCGGTCCTAAACTGATGGCTCCATTTATCACTGCAGACCAGACTCAGACTTGTTGTTTTTGGTTCTTTCACAGCCCAGTAACCTGCTGCTCAACAGCGAGTGCCAGCTGAAGCTTGCAGACTTTGGTCTGGCCCGCTCGCTCTCCAGCCTGCTGTCCGATGATGGAAGTGTTGCGGTGCTCACGGACTACGTGGCTACACGATGGTACAGAGCTCCTGAGATCCTTCTGGGCTCAGCGCGATACACCTATGGAGTGGACATGTGGTCGAGCGGTGTGTATGCTGACTCTATTGCATAGTTTCCTTTTGTGCTCTGAGGTTCCTATGCCATCGTCAATAGAATGGAACCGAGTATTCCGACATGCTTGCTGAGGATGTTTCTGCCATTGCATGTTTCTTCTCGTTTTTGAAACAACGATGTTTGGTGCGAATACTGGGTTTCAAGATCCCCCTTATTGTTCGCTGTTGATCATGTTGCAATGCTGTGCCTGTGAGAGCTTTTGTCAGGGAGGCTTACTGGCGCTGTTGTTGAGGGCGCTGGTTATGCAGTTTGTTGTGTCGATCGGCGTCAGATATTGGCACTGGTTGTAGCAAGCGAAATAGCGGTGAAACTGCAGGATGGATGTTTCCATTCTGTGACTCCCTTCTCACGGGCACCCTTCAACCTGGCTCACCTGGTGTGGCCGGGTGTGAGTTGCTGTTGGTGTTGTCATTGTCACTAAGCTTGCACAGAGTATCAGCTTATGATTGTCATGTCTCTGTCCCATGCTAACAGTTTTGCAGATTGGTCCATCCAACTAATAGTCCCTGGAAGGGGCAGGCGTAAGTTTGCTGGTTGTGCTTCATTTGTGGCACTGTGAGCGGATGTCCAGGAGGAGCCAATGTTGATTTCCTTGTGCTTTCGTCATTTGTGCTCAGTTTGTTTTCACCCTGCCCAAACAGGTGTACCTCTTCATGAAAGAGATTGAGCACTTTCCGAACTGTGGGGCTCTGCTGTTGAACTCAATGTGAAATTTAAGCCAACTCAAAAACAGGCCATTAGCTCACAGTTGCATGTGGTGCTCAAAGGTTGCATCCTTGGTGAGCTCCTTGGAGGCAAGCCCATTTTCCCTGGTACCTCCACAATGAATCAATTGGAGCGCATTACGGAGATCACGGGTCCCCCAACTCGTGCAGATCTGGATGCCACACAGTCATCATTTTCAGCAACGATGATCGAAGGGTGCCGGTTTGCGCCACAGCGTGACTTGCGTGAGATGTTCCCAAGTGCTTCTCGCGAAGCTGCTGATCTCCTTCGCAAGCTCCTGCAGTTCAATCCAAACAAGAGGATATCTGCTGAGGACGCTCTGAGGCACCCCTATGTGGCTCAATTCCACAATCCCTCCGATGAGCCGACTGCCATGAGGTTGATCACCATTCCGATCAACGACAATACCAAGGTATGCGACATTGGGAATCGCCTACTGCACATGTGTTGGGCCCTGAGCTACCCAAGTTGCCATGGCCATTCAAGAAGGCTTGGTGTTCTGGTGCCACTTGAGGTGAAAGCATGCTGGCATGGCCCTCCTTGTGCAAACTGGAAGACTTCTCTCACTTGACACTGTTGTGGAGTGTGGAATTCAATACTGTCTTGGTTGCTTTTGGCCCATGGACAAATTAAGGCCCTTGCGCCATCTAGACCATAAACATGCACTTGTGGAATCCATTTTCTTGTTCTCAGCTTGTGTCTGACTACAGGAAGCGTAATCTGGAATGGACTCTGGGACACGTGGGGCTCTGTGTTCTGCACTACCAGCACACAAACACCTTTTGCTTTTTGCACAGTTTTCTGCACATGACCGACTGATGTGTTATCCCAGCACTGATTATTTGTGCCTCTTGCGAATTCTGATGTTGTGTCTGGCCTTTTGCAGTACACCATCTCTGAGTACCGTGACACGTTGTACTCCGAAATCGTTCGCCGGAAGAAGGAGATGAGGCGAAAAATGAAAGAAAAGGAGGCGTCAAGGGCCAGGCACAGCCGCAGTAGGTACAGGTCGGGAACGACCCAGTCGCATTCAGGGACCTCAGGGAGGTAAATATTGTGCCTGAAGGTTCGTGGGTGCTTCCGGTTTTGCCCAGAGCACGTTCTCCTCCCAACTCGTGAATGGCTTCCTGTGTGATAGCCAACTGTCCAGAGCACTGGTAGGATCGCCCTCTGCCTTAGCCTGGCTGCCATAGGGGCGATTGCAGGGGGACAGGTTTCATGGTCGCAGCAAATTTGGCGATTGCTGCGACGGTGGTGAAAGGGAGGTGGTGCCAAGTCAGTTGCTGGATGTACTCGCGCCCAAGTTGCGTGTTTATATTGCAAAGCTTCTTCTGGGCTTGGCTTGGTTGGGGGAGTTCGGTCGGGCTTGCTTGGTGTTTGATATGTTGGGACGTTGCAGGGGTTAGGAACCTGGGTTTAACTGGAGAACTCTCCTTCTGAATCATGCATCAGAAAAATGACAAGATACAAACAGGGAATAAACTCATGTCGAAATGGGCTATGATTCGCTGGAAGGCAGCGTTGTCCGGGGTGCCCGATGGGAATGTTCAAGGTGCAGCAAATTGGGGGACGCCAATGCGGTGCCAGCGAGGGTGGTGTGTGCATTTGCTGCCACCCTGGCAAGCTTTGCACCTGCCTTTTGCAGTGAACGTTAGGACCTGTGATCAGGTGCAGATCACAGTGATCTGCTGCGGAATTGGTACCTTGTGTGGGGTGTGGTCTAATGTTGGGCCATCAATGCGCCCTGGCGTTACCCAATAGGGTAGGGTTGCTGGGGGAACTGATGCACATTGTTGATGGGGACATGGAAATTCTTCTTGCACAGCGTATTCCCCTCAATAAATTTCATTGCTAGGATGGGTCCTAGTGGGAGAAGAGAATGTGACAGGAACAGCACGCAAGGTGGTCAAGAGCGAGAGAAAGGGGACGGGGATGTACGCAGGCCCGTTGTGCATATCGTTACTCAATTGGTTTCGTACCAATAAGAACACTGCTCGTGGTGTTGCATTTGTATGACGACTTGCCACAAGCGCTTGTCTTTTCTGTGGTGGTTCATGACGATTTTAGCTGTGCACCACCAGACTTTGAGATTGCGTTCATCTTTTTGAGGCTGCCAGTTTCGTAATGCTTTCCGTCTGCAAATATTGATGACCATGTTGCACTAGTTGCTTGAGTGCTCTCGTGCATGGCTTCCCTCTAGTACTGGCGTGCTGCCATAGCCATCCATAGAGGCAATTGTTTAGTCGCACAGAGAGGGTAATAGTATTGCAGGAGTGGTTGTGGTCCGCACGGAGAAGGCATTTCGCTGCGTCTCGTGATCGTGAAGACAACAGGCTGGCTTTGGGGGTGCAGGCGGCTGTGCAGATGCGCAAATAGTGATGGTGGAGTCCACATAGTACTGCTCCATGGCTTTTGTTGTCTTTCCAGCCGTCCAAACAGTGCCAAGGCAGGTGGGCGTTTCATAGGGGAAGAGTGTACAGCGGGCAAGGGGCCGAACAGGCGAATAATGTAGTTTCTTTTTGTTTCGCCCCAGCTTTTTTCAGAGGAAATGAATGGCGGGGCATTGCTTCCCAACCGCACACAGATTTTTGGGCCTCGTGTGGTTCGCAGAGGATTGTTTCAATTCCTTTTTTTTTCATTGCCACTTCCGGTGTCATTGCTCGCGGAGGGGAGCTTGCTCTATGCCATGGTTAAGGAAAGTCGAAGTGCCGCTTATGGCGATGTGTCTACACTTCGGCTTATGTTTCTCTCCCCCTGGCATCGTGAACGTCACTAGGTGAAGGGATGCGGGCTGCATCCCTCCATATTACTGCATGCTCTGCCAAGTCGCGTTGACAGCACGATGGTCAGCTGTGGCCTTTTTGGCTGCTTTTAAGCGGTTCTTGGTGCTGGACGAGCGTGGGCGTTGCACAAGTGCGCGGCTCACTGTCGCATGAACCGACGTTCAGCAGTGCTGGGACGGACTGTACAACCGCGCCTGGCGCAGAGCGTTTCAGGGTACGTTGAGCACGCTGGTTCTCAAGGCGACGGGGCCAAGGCGACAAGGCCGGGCATGATGTCGGCACCCCTTGCGCTGTTGCTGGCCTGCGACCCGAACACATCGCGCCCCGCGCTCGTCCTGCCGCTCACACAGTCGTTCGAGCGTCCGTGATCGGGTGCCATGGCGCCCCGTCAGTTGTTCAGGATGATTGGCGGATACAACCCCCACCAGACGTCCACTCTTCCGCTCCCGGTGTTGCCTACTCTGGCCACCTGCTTCGCCGCCCGCCTGTGGACGTAGCTCTCTCCCCCGCCCCCCCCCCGGCTGTCCTCGCTGCCCTCCCCACCCGTGAAGCCGCCCCCACCCCCGCCGCCCGCCCTCCCCGCGCTCCCGCCGCCCCCGAACCCCCCGGGTGAGCCAGGGCCGGAGTCCAGCCTCCCCAGGGACAGCCCGCGCATGAGCTCGGCCTCGCGCACGCCGCGCGCCCAGGTTGAGTGCGCGGCGGCCGACATGGACATGGACATGGCGGTCTGCAGCCGCACGCTGCCGAGCATGGCCCCCGGCTCCAGGGCCTCTGCCGCAGAGGGGCTGCCGCCGTGGTCTCCGGCATCGGGAGATCCCGTCGCCCGGATGGCGTGCGCGACGGCGGAGCCGGCGCCCCGGAACACGTTCGCGACGACAGACCGCGCGCCGCGGATGGCGTTCCCAACGGCGCAGCCGTCCTGGCCCGGCATCCGTACCGGCGACCCCCCCCTTTTGGAGATCGTCGCCGGTTTGGCGTCGCAGCCGTCGCCTTCCTCCCCGCATCCCCCGCCTCCACCGGCCACGACCAGGATCCCGTCCCAGGAGCCATTGCCCCACGCCCCGCTGGTGGTGACGAAGGAAGCACCCCCCCCACCGGTGGGGGCGCAGTGCAGGGCCCGGGTGGACATCCCCCCCGCCAGGATGCACAGCGCCTGGCCGGCTTGCAGGAAGAAGCCCCCGCCAACGATGGCCCCTCTTCCGCCCGCATGCTGGGGCCCGTCTCCCGCCTTCGCGCCGAAGGCAACTATGTAGTAGTACCCGTCGCGGGGAGCCGCCCACTCCACCTCGCCGTTGCTGTAGTCGAAGGACGCCACTGGGCGCCTGCGCAGCACCTCGCTGCCCACGATCGGGGCCAGACCGCCGCGGGTCCACAGGCTGGCGCCGATGGCGCACAGCGCGTCGAAGATGCGGCGGCGGATGGGGGCGTCCGCCTCGTCCATGTCGGTGCCCAGCACCGCTATGAGGTCGGCGGGGCCCATGGACTCCAGCCTCAGCGCCTGGAGGAAGTCGTCAGAGTCGTCGGCCCTGGAAGGAAGGTGGCCGAGCCACCTGCGCACACAACCCCGCGTCCTGTAATGCCAGGCTTTGCGCCAACGTTGCCTGTGACAAATCGCCAAATGTGCGTGTGTTTAAATCCGTACCAAATAATATCGAATCTGGTGCCAAACCGTACCAAACAAAATTGAAACTTGTACCAACGCATAATAAATCTGGTACCAAATTCGCGCAGGTACCAAAAGTGTTGAACGATGTACCGAAAATTTTTGCACCCAGTACCAATTAGTCAGCGAATGGCAGCCTGCGATCAGCACTGGGCTTGCGCTTGGTTGGTTGGTTTAGGTTTTAGGGTTTGGGGTCTATGAGCCCAGTATGGCGGCAGGGATTTGATGACTGATTGGTGCTGGGTTCGACATTTTGTGGTATACCGTTCAAGATCTTTGGTATCGGCGCTAATTTGGTACGAGATTCAATACGTGTTGGTCCTAATTTTAATTTTATTTGGTACGGCGGCAGTTTGGTACCAGATTCAACATTATTTGGTGCAGAATTAAATATGTTCCCTGAACAAGGTGGAGCTTGCACAGTCGTCAGAGAGCGACACAGGGGCGACTTGCGCTGCAGCGACATTGCAAAATGGTTGCATCCACGAGTGATTCCTGCGTGGGCGTATCTGAAACGCATTACTACTGTGCTGAATCGAATTGGATGCCGCTGAATTCGACCTGATGTCGCTGTCCCCTGGACGGCGCCCTTCCCACCTGACGACCAGTGCAAGGAGGTGCACCGCTGGAACGGCCCACTCGGCTGGCTGCCTTTCGTTGTACTTTATGAGCGCCATGAGTCCTTCGCCGGACATTGCCAGCAGGCGCAGGCCGCCCGTGATCATGTCCGTGAGGAAGCAGATGTGCTCGGCGCACAAGTCCGTTGGGTCCTGCAGTGGGTACTTCAGCGACTCTTCGAGGAAGGCGCATGCACACCCTTCCACCTTCCTCATTTTCTTGCTACAGTACTCTCTACAGCGGTGTGTCAGTTCCGTGACGCCCAGCCTGTCCGCAAGGTTCCACACCTCGATGACGTTGATGTCGTCTATGGGGCATTCACCGTCGGTCGCGAACCTCAGCGTGTGCTCAAGAGCCTGAGGGACAGAGGGACGCGAATGCGCGCAATCAGGAACGGCAATCTGACGCTGCGCCTCAACCAAAAAGGACAGAATCTGGGTCGCGGCTTTTGCGTCATACCGGACGGGCAGTGATTTACGTGAATTCATTCTGGGCACCAAGCTTGAGCGCGCGTGACGTCCTCGCGGTGGTGATGGAGAGCGCGCTGACGACCGTTGCACAGATTCGACGCTCATTGACACAGCACTCTCTAACACCGCAGCAGTGTTTGCTGTACGGCACGATCCACAATTTCAATGCGAAGCATTGTCTGCGGGAATCACAACTTCCAA